CTGTAAAGGCTTAAGCCTTTCCTGGCAAGTGATTAACAACTGGGACAAGCCCTTCCATGAGACATGAGTTTTGCAGCCTGTTGTGTGGTCTGTTTGGCTGGGTCTGTAACACATTTCCGATTGTCTAAATATAAAGAGATAAAAAGGAAAGGACTGCCAGACTCCACTGTATAACGTAAAGTGAGTCAGAGGGAAAAGGTTTATAATTTTTCTTCTTCATTTTACATTGCTGGCTACATCTTATCTTTTAGCCAGAAGATGCTAACATCATTTTGTCTCTATAAATTGGCTTGCGCGTGATACAAAAACACAATATGACTTTTTTTTTCTAACTTAGTAGAAGTTTTGATACTTCAGTGCTATGAAATTCAAGAACCCTAATTTAATCTCAGAACTGTTAAAACATTACTTTACTCAGCCAGTGGGTGTGTATATTGCCTCAGTGAGCCATCTTTTTTAACTAAGCAGTGATATTTAGGCTGGAAGCTGGGAATTAATCGCAACAACCTATGTTTGCAAAGTGATGGTACCAGGGCTTTTTTTTCTGAGCTGGCACAAACATATTTCTACCTCTTTTATTGTTCTTGTGACATCTAGTCCTGTTTGAGCTAATGGTGTGATTGCCCTGTGGATTTTAACAGAACTGCATCTCTGTTGAAACTGATTCAGAAAGCAGTTGTGTCCATCTTCACTACTAAAGAAAAGCCCAGTAAATCCCAGAAACAGCCTTAAAAGCCTTCATGAATTTTTTAAGTGATTCAAATGAATAGTGATTCACCTACTCAAAATATGAAACTTGTTTCTGTTGGTCCCATTGCTGTGCCATCTGGGTGATGTGTAAAAAAAGATACCAGTGACTGGCAAAAACTTTCATGGCTTCACAGAGGGAAGCAAGAAAATTAATGAATTGCTGCTCTTTTTTCCTGTTAAGCAATCTCCCAGTTTTGAGATTTACGGTTATTTTATTTGCAATGTAGCTGTCTACTATTTAAATAATTGAAAAGGCATGCCCTGCAAACACATTTTATAATTCAGTCACGAAGATATTAGGATCTCCCACTTTGATAATCATCATAGTTAATGACAAATGAAAACTTTCTGAACAGCTCTGGTATTTTGAAAGTTGTGAAACAGTCGTTCTTGGTCTTGGTTGAAACCCTTCCCGTTGCGATACCCGACAGCTAACGTGTCAGCAGCAGCATGCATGAACTGCTATGGGCAGGTCAGGCCCACAGTGGGTCACGCAGGGATCATTTAACAGGTAGGTCATCACATTGGAGGCCATGTTAAGAAAGTACGCCATTCTTCACATGGGTCTTGGCAGCAAGTATCCCTGGAACAGATGTTTCAGAGACTTCTTGGTGCCATAGTGGATAATGAGAGTTGATTTTAGTGTGAACATGTCAGGCGCTAGACTGTCCTTGTGTCTGGGGGGCAACAGGCTTGCAGATGTCTTGGAAGGCCTTTGACTGGCTGAAGACTTCAGTTTCCAGGGGGTAGTGCAGGTGCTCGAAGATTGCCTGCTTCTGTCGAGAAGCACTATTAAAGCAGTATTAAAAAGCCCCATTGTAGGATGTGTGCAAAGGTTGTGTGGGTCACAGGTAGCTAGTAAGTCCCCGGTGTAGGGACTGTGCAGCTTAGTCTAGGACTGCAGTGTTTTGGTTTTGTACTTGCCTAAGGCGTCCAAAGCAGCATGCAGGCTTGAAAGTGCCCGCAGGGGTCTCAAATGCCATTTTCTATTGAGCAGGAAACAGCGTGTTTTAAACGCAGTTTTTCTCAAAACTAGTGGCTGTGCTGAGTGCCAGCAGAAAGGTATGTACCTGGTATGTACCTTCACCTACAGATGCCTCCACTTCCCAGGGCTGATTTACTATTTTACTAGCCAGGGGAAATTTAGGTTGGATATTAGGAAAAACTTCTTCACCGAAAGGGTGGTCAAACATTGGAGCAGGCTGCCCAGGGAAGTGGTTGAGTCTCCATCCCTGGAGGTATTTAAAGAACGGATAGATGTGGTGCTTGAGGGCAGGGTATAGATGGACTTGGCAGTGATAGGTTAACGGTTGGACTCGATGATCTTAAGGGTCTTTTCCAACCTTAACGATTCTATGATTCTATGATTTTGTGAGGAGTTGGATAAGCCCTGAAAATTTGCAGGTTGAGGAACTGAACTTACAGTGTCCTTCTACTAGCTAAATGGCAAGCAAAACATAGCTTTTCGAATCACTCCCTTTCTCCAGGACTGCTTCTGGATGGTATTTATTCTTTATGCTGTCATCTGTTAGCTTGTTAAGCACAGGAGGTTGACACCTGCAGACAGCACCCGAATAATCAGCTGGCTTGAGTCTTGGTCTGCTGCATCTGCAGCGTGCTGCCCTGAGGCTTTACAAGGTTTGCAGCATGGCAGATGCAAGGTGCACGGGGACTAGCTCCCTATTACCGCAGCTGCCATAGCAGTTAGAGCAAAGGCATTGCAGAAGGTCCTTCTTACTTTCTGGAAGAAAAATAGATTTGCAAAAAATAGACATAAGCCTGGTGTGTCCCCCGCTGATTGCTGTCAAACAGAAACCTAAGGGAACTTTGCCATTGAGTACTTATGTGTAAATGCATCCCGTTGTCACCATGTGGCCAAGCCTTGAGGTTTTAAGGACCATCAAAAGTAATATCCAAGATTTCCTTTCTAGGGAAAGGATCCTGATCAGATTAGTAGGGAGTACACAGGTGGTTATCTGGGAAGTATGTTAATGCTGGAATTGTTTGCAGTAATCTGGTAACTCCTGTTTTATGAAGTAACTTTACAAAACAAGTGTAAACGTGTTGGAAATTCTTACAATATGTCTACTAAACAATTGAACTTGATTGCTAAGGGAAATGTCGTTGCAGAGCAGAAGCAGTGTGATAGTGGCCTGCCAGGCGAATACACAGATGTCCAGTGCAATCGTGAGGAAGTGATTTATTGGTGTATCAGCAGTGCCTTTCCAAGGAATGATTATGCTGTGTGTCATTGGATTTCAATTTCCTTTAATTTGACTACCCCATGTACCTATGGAGTATCACTGCAGCAGTAAAACTGCAAATTAGACTAACCAGGCATCTTAAGGGACCTGGTCAGGTTTGTCACTGGGATTTCCTGGCTATTCCTAAAAATAACTGAGTCAATGATACATCAAGTCTGAAAGAGCCTAGATTCAACAACAGAAGATTTTATCTTGCTAGGTAGTATCATTGCAGTGTATTAAGCTCAATTCACCAGGAGTGGGTAAAACCCGAGAAGCTAGGGAAATACCTGGGTCACTATTCACACTAAATGTGGTGTTTATAGCAGTAAGCTGCAACCTGCATTTTAGCTTATTATCTTAACATGAGCTCTAATTCTTCTCTGTGAGTGGCAATGTGAACTCAGTAGCTTGAGTTGATGCCTGTTGTACTTGCAGTCTTTTTTAGACTATGGACACAGTTGCTGTCTTTGAGCGCATCTATAAAGTGATTAATAGCGATTCTTTGCCTCTTAGGAGAGTTGTCTTGTGAGGACTAGAAAAAATGAAGGAATGAGAATGAGCTAATACTGACAGAAACTATATATATATACATATATACACATATATCTCCTTGAAACAGTTCAGCAGTACAGCATAATGATTTTTTTTTTTTTTTTTTCCTTTCCCCCTGGGTGAGACATTTTAATGACCAGGCTGTCATGTTTCGGAGTGCCTACCAACTTAATGTAATGAGACATAGACAGGGATTTTCTGGAGCGTGGCTTATCTCTACATGAATGCATCCTAAAGTAGATTTAGAAATCTGTCAATGGTGAAGGAGAGAGTAATGACCACATTACTGTAGCTGTCTTTTTAAAAATCTTACACGCTGTTGGATAGATTTGTTGCAGAACAAGCTAGCAGAAAAATACAGTAAACTTCAAAATACCTGTTTTTCTAGAGCTTGATTCAATTGCATTGTATAGGAAATTGTGTTTCTGGGACCAGCATTGTATCACCTTTTATTTGGCTTTAAATCCATGATTTAGATTGAGGATGTAACAGATTTGACCTAGAATCAATTCTCCTAGTAAAAGTCCTCTCAGCTGGGCATGTAGAGCCCTGCCTATTAAAAAGTCAGCCTCTTCACATCTCCTTTTATTAAAAACTCCAAATATTCCCTTAAGTAAAGAAGGTTTTTTTTTCACATACCTGATCATGCCAAGCAAGTCCCTGAAAATTCTTACTCAGCGCTTTGAAAATTGTCTAATAGGCAAATGGTCCTCTCTGGAAATGGGAGAGCTGTGACAAAACTAATAGAGTTTGGCTATTGATTTCCAGTAGGTCTGTTATACTGATGCCAAGTCTTTGCTGAATTCACATTCCTGGGGATGTTCAAGAACTAGTTAGAAAACTTAGAGGCAGAAAGCTCAGTTCCAGTAAATCACACATTTTGTGACAGGGTGGGATAGTTGGAGATTAAACACACTTTCTCTCAAGTTGTCTAAATAGTGAATATTGATGTAATTTATTATTTAAGCATTAAATATTGACATCAGAAGAAAAGAAAAAAGCACGAGGAGAAAATCATCCCATCATACAGCAATTTGACAGCATTAAAAGCTCACAGCAAAAGGGGGAAATAAATGTGTTGAGAAACAGAGGAATATATGCGTTCCTAGCTCAGTAGATTCTGTGTACATCAGGCTTTGGACAACAATGTTGGGGATATGCATAGGTGCGTGCATAGGTGGGATGTTCAACCTTTTATTACATGTGGCAGCGTTACGCTTTCGTGTGGATTCATTGACTATTGAGACTTTCCAAGGAGAGCATTGTCCAGTGAATGAAATTTTCAGCCAACTGGCTACCTTTCATTTTTTCGGTCCTGGCGCAGCTTAATCTCCTCCGTTCATGTGTTACTACCAGATCTGAATTGCTGCGCTTGCGTCTTGCTCAGTGTCATGTAGCACATCTGGAAATGTTGTGGTTTGCTGAATGACAAGTCGCACTCTTTCCTTCCAGTTCCGCCTGGTGGTAAAGACAGCGCTGAAGCTGCTGCTGGTGTTCGTGGAGTATACCGAATCCAATGCACCGCTTTTAATCCAGGCAGTATCTACCGTTGATGAAAAGAGAGGTGAGTAGCCTTACTTGGGGGATGCAAAATCCTAGCACCGCTGAGACCAGGGTGGCATTTCATCATTGATTTTGGTGGTTCTAGGGCTGCTGTCGTGATGCCTGCTTTGTGCAACATACCCTTCATTTCTTGATTAAAAGTGTATTTTAAAGTATTCATGCAATTTAAGATTGTTTTGAGGAATGAATTATAGCGGGAAAGTGAAAAGCCGAGGAACCCGGCTGCCTCCCTGTGCACCGCAGTCATTGCCCCTTCCCTGCACCCATGCGCAGAGCGCCCCGTTGCATCTTCCGACCTTGGAGGCTCCTCAGGCCAGGCCGTCTTTCCACTTCCTTCTGAGAAGCAGCAGTCTGATTTAGAAGAGAAAATGATATCTAATCAGCGTAATCCCTTTGAAGAGAAAGACGAGGTCAGTAATAGTACAGGCTTTATAGTAAAAGTAAAACCATCTGTTGTTACATTAAAATAAAGCCCTTGAGCAGATATTATGCTATGAAATCTGTTACCCTTCAGGCTCATGAAAAATACTTGAATATGTATACTGTATTTTTTACAAATAAATAGAACAAAAATGGTTCTTTCTTGTTCTTCCCACAAAGCCATTGCTAAGCTCCCGGGGCATTCTCTCTTGATGCAAAACATTCCTTTGCCTCAAGGAGAGTTTTTGAGGCTGGGAGAGCCATTGTTGTGGTCTCAAACACATGGAGGTTGAAAGCAAGATCCCCTCTGTGGAGCAACTGCCTCCGTGCTGAACTCGTTTGAGCGACTTGATATGGTAAAAGTGAAACAAAAAAAGTTGGGGGATGGGGAGAAAGGTGGTGCCAGAAATAGGAGAAAGTAGCCAGGTTTTGCTCTCAGCTACCAGCATGAGTGTATTGAAAAGACCCCCCCAAAAAAACAAATTGTGTCTTATGGCAGGGGAGCAGACAGGGGCACTGCAAAACCATGTAACACTTTGAACAGTGGACTCTTCAGGTCGGCTTTCTGTTTTGAATTAAAACCAATAAACCTTACAGTGCCATAAGCAGAAATGTAATTACGATATTCATGTAATTGTGAGCACTATGATTTATTTTTACAGTCATCCTTAGTATTTCCTCAGCTCTCTGAACTCACTGGTATTCGCAACATGTTCAAATTGCCATCTGTTCACATGCTAGTAAACCTCATTAAAGAAAAAAAGTGAGCGAAAGGAGGACCCTAAACACGCTACCATGCGCTGTGTATTCCCTTCTGTATCTGTAAAACAGCCTCAGGCAAACATTTACATGCCCCAAAGTAATAAAACAACTTCACTAACAACAGAAAACATGTGAAAAAAAAGTAATGTGTGTAGTTAGATGGATACGTGTTAGGAGCATGAGGAGAGGGTTTATGGGAATTCTCATACCTGTGGGTTGGCGAATTGTCTCATGAACTCTTGCAAATAACTTAGTCCCAAATACCCAGTTTTCCTTCCTTCCTTTTTTTTTTTTTATTATTAAGCAGTTACGCTTAGCTACAAAAGAGATTTTTTTTTTTTTCCTTGTTTTAGACTTAGTTCCTTTTTTAGGTCATCAGTGTAATAGCCCTTCACTTCTAGCTGTGGATATGCTACGTTTTAATTTATATTTTGAAAATAGTGGCTTATAACTGAGGAGTACCTGTCTTTAATGACTGATTTAATGGAACAGAAATACAGAGGAAGAAAAAGCAATGTGCCTTTTCTTGAAACATTGTCATAAATCTTGCAGGTATATAATTAAGTTTAGCACTGCTTTGAAAAAAGTCCAGTGTTTCATGTACATACAAGGTGATGAGATATGACATAATTCCTCAACATGTGTACCACACATGATTAACATAAAGTACCCCATAATAACTCAGCCTGGTTTCAAAGCGATCCCATCTGTGGTTTCTATGCAAGAATACATCCATATGCAAACTGAAGTACAGAGATCCGCGGAAGTACCGGCTTTACTCTCAGAGCAGACAGTAAGTGAATAACTGCATGGCCCTCATCATATAGGAAGTAGCTTCTAGTTATGCTTCCATCTAGATCCCTGTTCCCCTGTCCTTTCTTGTTTCAGAGCCCCAGAGGAATTTGATCTCTTTTCAGTTTAAGCATACTGGGAGTGTGTGGGCTCTGGAAAGCAGAGCTGCCATTGCACTCTGCTGTCTGGGTCTGCTTTATCACGAGCATTTTTTAGGACAGAGATTAAAGCTCTGTGGCTGATCTGGACACTGTCACATACTGTTTGTGAATCCTGACATCTTATTACATTATTTGTAAATGGCCCACATTATTAGTATCTCCACTTTTCCTGCCATTTCACCCATAGTTAGATATCCAGTAAAATAATGTAGGTATGATGGAAGGCTCTATGTTCACACATCTTTGAATAGCCAGGAATACAAGATGATGAGGTCTTTCTAAAAGCGTTAACATCTTTCCGTCCTATGGCAATTAGAGACAGGCAGTCTGTAAGTTGGTGACAGTCCTTATGTATGGTTCTGGCCTGATGCAAGGCTTTCCATGATTTATAGACAATGTGCATGTCCTGTGTAGTTGTGATGTCAGGATTCTGTGTAAGGCATTAAATTTTTTTTTTTTTTTTCTGAGATTCATATGTCAAAACATTTAAAGGGGAAACTGAGAAAAGACTGAGACTTAAAGCAATGGGCCACATTATTCAATAGACTGTATTAATTTAATATAGGCTTAATTATTGTAACCCCATAGTTCTCCACGTGTTCATGCTCTGTGCGTGACTACTTGGAGTGCTGTAGTAGCATCAGGGTTGAGGCTTCAGCCTTCCTGTCAGAGTAGCCACGGTAATGAGCTGCTACCAGTGACAAGCCTGTGAAAGGCAGTCGAGCAGTTCTCATTTCACCCATTAGAAGGCAGGAGAACACACACAAAACTCGACCTCTGCTGTTTTGCTTCAGGGAGCCTGTTTCATCACTCCCATCAATTTTGCCCCGAGTCCTGCATGGAAGTCATAACCTTATGGGAACATCTTGGTCTGCTCCCAGAAGACTTGCTGGGATGCTACATCATCATTATTTAACATCATCATTCTTCTACATCATGATTGGGTGGAAGAGACAAGCTGGAAAGTAAATCTTTTTGAGAATTGACAAGCGTAAATGATTAGACTTACTATTTTTAAATATAAACTCTGTGATATACAAATATTAAATGGATTTACGTTTTTTACTAGAAATACATATGCATTGCCAAACCTAGATTTGAGTTTATGTTTGTCAGGATTTGTTACATTCTGAGCATTACACAGAAAAATGGAAGCTGTAGATTTTAGCCCTGCATAATAGTTTCCTCAAAGGTTCCTCTTCATCTGTAAATCGAGAGCTTTTAATATTCTCCACAATACAAATAGCCTTTTAATGGAAAAGGGAAAATATACATCATGTTTTTCGTATCTCTTGTATGAGCGTCATTGTTTTACTACAGCAGCCAATAAGTTTAGAAAAGTCATCAATTTTTTTTAGTGTATGATTTTCCAAGGTATCTTTCACAAAGTTTTTCTATGCAGCTTGAAAGGAGAAGTTTTTTCACCATCATCCTATATTAAAAAAATATTGCCTTGAAAATTAGTTTTTTCATGTAGACTCCAGCCTGTGGTCTCATCTTTAAGTGGTGACTCCCCAGGAACAACATATTTGGAAATCCAAGCTCAGGGTATGAGAGTGGGTGAAAGCAGACACCTGCTCTAGATCTGCCCATATCCCATGCTGTCTGGATCATAGGTTGGAGACCATAGGCTCTCGTTATATATTAGCAGGGAATATTAACCCAAGTATGGTAATGCAGTAAGTTCATGGTGCAACTTCCATACCCGAACTGCCTTGTCCCCAGGTGGGTAGACGGCCTTATGGCTACGTCCATGTTTACTCCTTGGCTGTTCGGCTTGAGATCATAATGAGGAAAATAGCGTTTGAAAAGAAAGGTTTGTTCTGGTACAGATTGCAGTAGCTCTGTCAAAGTCATTGACAGTACTGCCTCCTCTTGATATTAGTTAGGGAGAAGATGAAGAATTTCAAATTTAAGGCTAGATTTTGGATATTGCCTGAGTTTGACAGTAGCACCTTAATTAAAGCCTTTGAAAGATGGATGAGCTATTACAAGGCTGCCTTACTAGTAAGTGTGCCTGATTAGCAATTTTAAAAAATCGTATTCTGAAACAGAGAAGCAGCACGGCAAGAAGAAAATTATGTATCATCCTTGCAGGAAAACAGCCACGCGATCCTGAAAATACTCTTTTATGATAATGGAGAAGTATCAAGACATTCAGGCAAAAAAAATCACACACCAGGATGCTGTCTTTAAAAAACAAAACAGGATTGTTCCAATGAGACTAAAACCTGCCTGCAAAATAAAGGCATGTTTCTCAAGAACAATCACTGAATAATGCAGTATGGATTAAATAATTAATTTTTTATGTTGTTATCAACTCATTTTTTTCCAAATGGCGTTGTTATAAGTCAGACTTGCATGGCTTCCCCATTTTGTTTCTCTTTCTTATTTTCTTCCATTTTTATTTTTCACTGAAAACCACAGGAAGACATTTTTGTACTGAGGATATCATTACTGCTGATCATATATCATTTGTGAGCCGAGTGAATTTGTTCCACATGTCTTTTGAACATGTACTGCACAAAATGTCTGGTAATATAGAAAATCTGGTAAAGAATTGTCTAGTGTATTTTCATTACAGCTGTGTATTTGAATTAGTGTTTAATTAGTAATGCACATAAATTTGGAGAGCTGAGAGTGAATCCCTCTCTCCTTTGATTTTGCTTGAGATAAGGAAGCTCTGATTTATTATTCAGTAGGAAAGATCAGAGAATGTCTCAAAAAGAAGGGAAAAAGAAACTGGAGAAATATTGCTGTCTGTGTGTTACTTAATAGACAGGTTTTCCACACAGTGCACTGCCATCGCCTTGAAAACGGAGATCCTTGGTTAGCAGAGATTTGATGTCTGTGTAGCAGGATATATATATAATATCAGCATGAATAAACAAGAGCCATTATCACTGTGAGAGTAATGCAGAGTTTTAACATTGGGGTCACTGATCAGTCAGCACCAGGTTGTGGTGATGAAACATCTGCATTTTACTGCCTGATTATACTCAAACTGTTGTCATCCTTTTAGTGTTTAGGGGATGCAGGCTGTTGGAATACTCTGCATTTTTCCCTCTGAAATTCAAAGACTCTTGCAGTTACGCTGGTGTAGTTGAATTGAGTATCTCGAAGTTAGGGTTAGCTTTCTGCTGCGTCCTCCTCACCTTTAACTTTACTCCAAACAAAACACTGAATTATAGTCTTTCATTATTTACTTCAGTTTCCTACATAAAATAGTTACGTGGGGTTTTTATTTAGTAAATGCAACCATCTGCCTTTTAGCCAAATGAAATAGGATGGTTTTACAAGGTACCTTCCACACAAGAGGTTATCTTGAGTCTGTCTGGCGTTGCCTGTCTGCCATTTTTGGCACAATAACTCACTAAGCCACTTGGGTTTTGGCATCAGATAATCCTGCAAATGCAAATCAACATGCAAATCAAGCAAATACGTCATAACGAGAAGAACAACTTTTGACCTTGGTTAGTGGAAAAATGAGAGAAATGTATCTGAAAGTTCTGTAGAGGGGATTCTTATTAAAATAATTGGCATAAGAACCACAGCAAAAATCTTCTCCCCTCATTGATCATTTCTTTTATCCAAGACACACAGACTGTAATTTGAGAAATCTATGTTTCTCTGCTGCACTGTTTTGTCAACAGGACTTATCTTAATGCAGCATAACTCAGTAATATCACTCGGAATGTAAGCATCAAATACACTGAGATTTATCTAAGCCTATGTGAACCTATGATAGGTGCAGTAAAATTCCTCCCACCTGATTTTACAAGTTTACTGTCAATCAAACTGGGCTAACAAAACTTCCTTCACCATCGAGGGAGAGAAATTGGTACCTCTGGGGAAAGTCCACCTGGCCTATTTTAGATCCTTGCATTAGGATGCACTATAGCTTTCACTGACTGTATTAACTTCACTCTTTGTGAAGCAGGGGAGACTGTCGAGGAAGCTGGAGATAACTGTCTTTCCTCTTGATCTTCCAACCTGGCCACATCATTCTACCTTGTACTCCCTCTTGGATAAATGTTAATGCTATAGCTTTCCATTTTGATCACCATCACCAATGGTTTCTGCTTTCCCTCTAGGAGCCAAGCCGTGGTCCAACATCATGGAGATCCTGGAGGAGAAGGATGGGGTTGATACCGAACTACTGGTTTACGCAATGACTTTGGTTAACAAGGTTGGTTTACTTTGTTGGCATAACTGGTGGAGATAATGTTAGTATTTTCAATTGTATAATGATCTTCCCTGTTGAGAATATACGACAAAGGAGACCTGTCCCAGAGAAGTTGCAGGACAAACTGTAATCAATCAGCATACTCTTGTTACTTGTGTTGCAGTCACCCAGAGGCAGCAGCCGGGAGCAGAATTGCAATTTTGCTAGATGCTGTGTGGAAGCGTGTTATGACGCGACTCCTCTCCTAATGCTGACAGCGCAGTGCAAAACAAACCTCCACAAACTAACTCAACACATGATCCAAGGGGAGAAAGAAAGCAAGTGCTGGTGAAAAGATCACATGCTCACAAAGGCTTGCATTGTGCACAATTTTCTAGTTCAGATCGTTTAAATTTTTTTTTTAATGCAAACCAAATATGATGAATTTAACAGGTCTGAGTGCTAGTAAGAGTGTTTCTGGTTAAAAAAAAATGAGGTTACATTTTTTTCTTCTTTCTTTATATTTTCTGGTGTCCTGTATTACAAGTAGTAGTTTTGCAGTAAAATCAAACGTTTTCCAAAGTACTCACTTATGCTATGAAGAGGGAGAAAATGAAAGGGCCTGTAAAAGTTAGAAATTTACTAGTGTACATTCCTTTAAAATTAGCATCTCGTCTTAAACAAATCTTAGGGTGACTAAAATTAAAAATGGATTTTTTAAAGAGCACCAAAGATCAACGTACTACTAGCAAATCAAAATAGCTGTGTGTTTTATTATTATACTTAATAGGCCAGAGTGTTATGGACTATTATTATTCTTCATTTTATTCATATTCATTTAAACATCCTGAGTTTGTCGATGGAGGTCATAAATCAAGCTGCCAGCTTATTGTGCTTTTGGCTACGTGGTTGGGGCCATGGGTTGCTTTGGTGTTTTTTTGATAAAATATTTTCTTAATGGCAGATATTGTCCAGCAAAGATGCCTGAGAGGCGCTAACCTCTCCTGGTGACGTCACTGATGTTACTGTGCTTTTACGTAAAGCCGCCCTTGCTCCTGCTTACGTGGTAGTAGGGATACTCTCAACTTTCCAAGACCACCATATCTCACTGATGTACTCTTTCTGAAAGGCATCACCAGCTTTATATGTTTCTGTCTGTAGCCGCTATTAAAGCGAAAGCAACTAGATTTTAATGTCTCCCTTTTACACCTCGTCGTTTCATGTACCAGTTCCTCTTTCTGAGATAATTATCTTCATCATTTATGCAGTGGGTAATCTACCTGGTGTTTGACTTCTTCAAAAAATTTTGTTCTATGTTGACTCTTTTATTATCCTATAGTTGATTCCTTTAGTCTGAGTTTTTCACTACATTTAAAGCTATTTTTAGGAGGAAGTAGTTCTTTAAAAACACACAAAAAGAAACAGCATCGCGCAGTCAAAGGAGCAAAGCAGTTATGAAGATCAAGGAAGAGAGGAATCCCACAATGCCACACGTATAATTATGATCTGGCTTATGGACAGCTTTATGATGTTTTTAATGGGATTTTTTTTCATGATTATAGAGAAAACAGCAAGCAGCATGTCACAGTTGTAATTTTTTTCCCCCGCAGAGAATACAAAGAAGGCTCAGATGGTTTCAACTTCTCTAGGCGAGGAAATGTCAAAGTTTTCAGTGCAGACAGAGTCCTCACGAGGGATTTGTCTTAAGGAAGCATACTTCTACTCCTTTTTTTTTTCCATGTATACATTTACAGACTGTTTTCCTTCTTGCTCAAGAGCAGAAAACACATCTGCCCAGACATAAGAATTGCCCCAATCCTTTTATCCTCTCCCTTTCTTTTGTTGATGTTTAACCAATTTACTTACACTAGCATTGATTAAGCCTCTCTTAATTTCGGAGGATTTAAGCATTAATGAATCTCTTAAATGAGATTGATCCCAATGCAGATACTGGTTATATATAGTTCCAGTAGAACCTTTGTTCTCTTCCTTTGGTTAGATCTGTTAGATCTTATTCTAATCTCTACTTTCTTCATTTTTATTACTGAGGTCTGGATAGATTAAAGCCTTTGTGTTTCCTCTATATATATAAAAAAAAACCAAAAACGCTTATCAAATGCAGAAAGAAAATTCTATGTTACATTCAATTCACTTTATATTTACTTGCTATAAAACCTCTTCATTATTGAGATTACACTGGAAGCTTTGTAGTTGTAAGATTACTGTTGATTTTCTTTTTACCTGTATTTAATATTGCTTGTTCTCTCATACATTTAAAAAAAAAAAAAAAAAAGGTAGATAAAATAATGATGAGGTATATAAAAATTAATACATTTTGGTATAGTAAGATTAAGCAGTGAATATTTTTTAGCAGGTCCAGTATAAGACTAGAATTTAAGCACCAGCTTCCCAGCCAGTGGTTACTAGTGGGAGCTTAGAGCACCACCCACCAGCGGTCCATCAGTTGTAGCTGAAAAAGTGCTGTTTCAGGCCAGTGTGGTGTTAAAACAGCAGCCGGCACATCGTTTTTCAGTGACCTGCCTTAAGAACATTGCAGCTGCCACCCTGGAGCAATGATCATCTCAAGTCCTTGACATTGGCCACACCAGATGTTTTAGAAGAAGTTGTGGTTCCTGGGAAAACACATACATGAGAGGTGCTTCTTCCTATCCCAAAGCAATTGAAAACTTGGCTAATGCCCTTAAGCCTGTTTATTTACCATGTAGTGCTTTTCACTGTCGCATGTAAGATTTAGCTAATGCCTCTCGATCTAGTGCGTGGGCCCTGTAGTGAAGCCCAGTCTGTTGGATGTTTAGTAACCAGAGCAGTACTCTTACATTGCTTGGACTTGCATGTAAAGCATTGCACACCAAAGGGACTTCCTGCTGTCTGTATCCTCTCGGCACCACTGCTTTATGCTGTGATGGTTTTGTAAATGACAAAAGGCACCATACTTAGTTTTACTAGCTGGTATCATCCAGAGCTACACGTTTTAAAAACTGCAAATAAAAGAGAGCCTTTCAGTCTGAAGCTAGGCATAGCCTAACACTAATTTATGTCAGGTTTTGTTCAGAAACATAACTGCAGATATGTAGTGATAAGAATATTGTGCTATTATCAGTTGAGTATGTTGTCTAATAGGTTTTATCATCTAGGAAAACATTTGGCTGTTACACTACCATAAAACTTTTTTTTTTTTTTTTAACCCCCAATACAACTTGATTAGTTTTCTTGCCTTTCTTTTCATTGGGACTGTTACAGATAGTGGTAGGTAAAATGTATTGTTTAGGCTTTGGTAAAAATGTTGTTAAGATATATCAAGCTCAAAACTCTTGGGCTGGGGTTTTGGTCTTAATGTAGTTCACCATTCCAAAAGCAGCAGCTTGAGAGGGAAGAACTCAAAGCTGCACAGGCTTTCCTGCAAGGGCTTGGAAAAGCAACTTGGAAAATCACACAACAACAAACAGATAAAAATCCTAATTCAGGGATGTTTCCTCAAACCAAAACTGGGTAGAGGCATAGCGATGAGTCTTGACATTCATATTCATGCATCCTTTGTACACCTGAGTTCTGAAGAGTTTCAGCTGACATCCCAGTTTTGGTCTAGGCTAGTGGTAATGTAATAAAATTCAGCAAGCAAACCACAGAGTATGGTTTAAACACACTTCTCCAAGTGACTAAATTTTAATTCTCTAGACAGGTTTTCATTTTGTAAGGTTCAGTCTTCAGAGCAGGAGGAAATATTTGGGACTTGTATGTGTATTTTGATATGGGAGTATCATTTTGAACTTAACCAGGTACTGAGGAAGAGCAAGGACCTTAGAAGGACCTGCCAAATTCATGACCTCTGTTCTGCTGGCTGCAGCTTTCGTTGCCTTTATAAAGGCACCAGGAAAATGCGGGCCCACTCTTGTCTTCTAATATTACAAGCCAGAATTAATCAGTCATTTATGCAAACACTTCATGTCCCTTGTGTTAGTTACTGCAAAAATCTTTCTCCTGAGCTAGATTGAACTGACCTTGTTGTGACACCAGTGGTGCCCTTTTACATCCCATTTCATAGTCTTAGAAATTGAATTTGATATGCATTAGGCTCTGAAAATGGATCTTTGAGTTTAATGACAAACCATGCAAAGGAAAAATATTTGATTTCTATACTTGGGAGTTCAGTGGCCCAGTTCTGGCCACTAGCATGCAATGAAAATTGGATTTCCACTGGTGCATGATTTAAAATTATATTAACCAATAAAAGGCTGCTGACAAAAGCAGGGTTGCCAGTAAATACTACCTTATGCTGCTGTTTCCTTGTCTACAGCCTGCCTGATCTCAGATTTTAAAAAAGCTATACTTGAAGGCTGGTGGTCTGCATATCGACATTAAGACCACTTCCTGATATTTTAAGAAGTAAACGCTCACAAGATCTGTGCAGATCTGACTGTTTGTCCACCCTTTTGTATGTAAGACATCACGTCTTATTGTGCCTGAAGACACTCAGGTTGTCGTAGCTGCTGTCCACTTCTTTCTTAAATAAGAGAAAGCCTGATAGGTACTGTTTTCGGTTATAGTGTTTCCTTATCCATATTAAAGCTACATTGAATTTGCAGTGTGGTAGCTTCATCTGCTGAATCCTTGGATTTCTACTTAATGCTAGGTGTCAGTTTAGGAAAGAACAAAATGCACATGGTGTCTATTTTCAGCACTGTTCAGGAAAATTTAGTTCCATGGTCTTCAGTGGGTTTTAAACAGGCTTAAATACTGTCCTGGGCAGAGCCAAATTCTTAATTAGAGCCTAAACATATAACCCTGAATGTATAACCCTAACATTTCATTAGTGTTTGTGCTAAGCATTCTTGTAGTGGTGGACCTCACCAGACATCAGATAATAGTCCTGTAATGACTGAAGAAGAAGATGCTGCTGTGTTGTGTTTAGTTTAAAAAAACAAAACAAACAAACAAAAAAACCAAAATATTAAATTAAAAAGTAGCTTGGTGATGCACATTTTCCAGTGCCTCATTTCACAGGAAAGAGGTGCTTTAACAGGGCAGAGTATGCTAGCTGTGTGTTGTTATTCACATGATTCAGACCAATTTTTTCTGAACGTAAAGCTTCTTGGTAGAGGTAGGCAGCCCAGAATGGCTGCTCTCTTCTGCACTCTACTGCTCAGAGCCACTTTGGGAAAGCTGGGCTCCAGAAAACCAGTATTCTCAGAGCACAGTTCATCCCATCCTGGGGATGAGGAGATGAAACTCTTTCTGGAGAGGGCCTGGTTTTTGCGTGTGCTCTCTCTATCTCTTGCTCTTTCTCTCCTCTGCTGGGAGAATAGATAAGTTACTTAGCTAATTAAATAGGAGAGGGGTAACTACTTGAGAATAAGCATCTCTCTGGTGAGCTAATCCATAATAACTGTGTTGCTTCCAGTGTGCACTCTCCCGTATTTTGCAGAGGTGGCTCTGCATAGACTCATTCTTGCGATGAGGTGTATGTTGCTCTGCAAGTAGGTTGCGCAGTATGTTCAGCAGTTTCTGCTCAACATGAGCAGAATTAGACTCATTTTGCTGCATCGTGCATAAAGAGCAGTAAAAAATCAGCACACGCTGAGTAGAAATCAATGGCAAATCACAATAGTAGTGTTTTCTGTTGTCTTTGTAAATGTCTGCAGGACTCTGGTGGGTGAAGTTCACTTGCGCTCTGAACAAAATTGTCCAGTGCCCATGTCCTCTTCCCACGCATTACTCTGCAGTAAAGCTGTGAGTGGCTTGAATCAATCCCTCTTGCTACATACACTGCAGTGGCATACTACGGTATACATGGTATACTGCAGAAGACCACTTTCCTTTTCTCAGTTTTCTGAATTCACCAAAAAAACGGGAAATGGCTATGGTAAGAAAAGTGCTCTCTCTTGAACATCTTGAGCAGGTGCCATAGAAGAAAGCTCTGAACTCAAACAGTTCATTTTCAATAGCTGTTATTATTGGCATTCTTTATTTTCTAGTGTGCAAAAGCTCCTCTCCATTGTCACTGGTAACAACTTACCCCGTAATCAGGAATTAGTAACTCTTATAACATTTTATAGCAGTTAAGGGGTCAGTGTACACTTAATAAGACTTTTCAAGTTGAAAGGAAGAAAGGGAGGCGAGGAGTCAATATCTCTGTGATATAAAACAATCTGTGCATTGGGAGGATGACCTCTGCTGCAGGTGTGGAGGACAGTAGGCACATGGTACAGGATACTCCCTGCTGTCCTGACATCACACAGCTGTGCATTGGACTTTTTCTTCTTAAGGCCAAACTTACAGGAATCAGTAGGAAATCAGCTTCACTGTTTTTAGCTAAACCATTTTTTTTCTCTCTCTTTGCTTTTATCCCTGTGTTTGGTGCTTTAACATTCTCTGCTCTTTAAATCTGTACTTCAGTGAAACCAGGAAGAATCCAACTGTGTATTTTAAAGACCCACATTTTCCATACTTTTTTGTGTGAAATAACAACATTGATTTGTTTTGCCAATTATTCATTTTTCTACACAGTGCAGAGAGTTGTTTGTTAAAAGCTGTGCCACTTGTTTTTTATTTTCTAGCGGTGTCTCTAATCCCACATCATGGGTTTTACTTTATTGAAATCATACACAGCACCACTTGCCACCCGCTTTTAAAACCTTTGTTTAATTCTTTTCAAAACAAACAGATCTAAATGTTTTTCCTTTGATTCTTAGACGCTGTCGGGGTTGCCAGATCAAGACTCTTTCTACGATGTGGTGGACTGTCTGGAAGAGCTAGGCATTGAAGCTATTTCACAGAGACACTTGAACAAGAAAGGAACAGACTTGGACTTAGTTGAGCAATTTAACATTTATGAGGTAACATAACATGCCCTGTTTTATGCATCTTACAGCTTGTGCTAACTTCAAAGCCGAGAGGAGGGGGGAATGTAACCTAGGTGAAATTTGGTTATCTATTTTACTTTAAAAGAAAAACATCTGGTTGCTACAAGTATTACGCACGTTCGTATATGTGACCTGCTATGGTGCATAGCTGCGTTTAACGCAAAAGCATTTTATACTAAAGCTGGGGCATAGTCCAAGGCAAACCAGCACATTTACTAGCCTCCTTAGAGGCAGTTCTGCCTGCAATTAAAACTTTCTCAGACTGCTAGTTACACATCCTGAATTAAGTAGAAGTTCTTTCCACGTGCAAAAGTAGTCAGCTCATGAAAAAGGTTCGGCTGAGCTCAGCTTCACAAATACCACTTGTTCTGCAGCTGAATACCCAGCAAGTCCTTGTTTACGAGTTTACACTGGACCGGATCCTATACAGTTTGCAGCAATGGAGTAATGAGTGACTCCACATTCACCACCTAGGTATAAAATAACTAATTCTGAAGTATTTATATGTAAGGGTAGGATAACCAGTTTCTTAATAATTAGCCTCCTTTCAGACTTCGGGAAGTGTTAGAGCGGGGACATTTAGGCTGAAGTTAATGTAAGGTAAATGTGAATTCATGTTCTGGTGTGATGAAATGAAGTTACTTTATCTCCATCTCAGTCCAGCAAAGGATTTGGTAGAGTTGATTCTCCATTTTCTTCATCAACTCTATACCCATGTCGCTTCACTAACTTTAGCAGAGTTAAGTTTTATATACAACAGTTTGCAGGAAGAGTCAGGCCGAAATAGAAACATGAGAATGAGAGGGCTCCGTGTTCTTCTTTCTTCTTCTATTGTCAGAGGCATCAGGTCATAAAATCCTTTTTAAAAGATGATCATTAATCTTAAAAGCAGGGTTTTTTTGCTCATGCTGTGCCTACTGAAAGACTTGATTGTGAAATTAGCGGTTGGCTTAGTTGGGTACCAGGTTTCTCTTGATGACCAGACTAAATTTAGGCATGCCTATGCATATTCTTTCTTTTTTCTGCCAATGTTGTTCTTTATCTAAGAAATCTCTTCTTCCTCACTGAAATAGATTTTACACCCTAAGCAGAGATATCACACTTCCCACTGCCTTTGTTTTGTTAAAGTCACTTCTGGTAAGAATTATCAGAATAACAAGACTAATAAAAACAAGATATGCATTCTTCTGATCACCCACATAGCCCTCGTCGGTACCTCTGCCTGTTTGAATGGAAATTTCTCATATAAAGATTACTTAAATGTTATGCTGCATTTCAGATGAGATCCAACAGTAGCTTTGTTGTTTCTGCCAGCGATATCTCTCCTTACGTACCCTGAAGTAGCACTTGCTTTGTTTCTCTTAGAGGTATGTCACATTGGCATATCAACGGCATGCTGTAGTTCAAGATACTAGGTGTTATACCCATATTTTACTCCTCTACTATTTCCAGCTGATGAGCTCCCAACCTTTGTCAGAAGTTTCTGTCAAATGTCATTGTGGCCATGCTGTTCTCAGCATCATTATTTTCTGATATTATGCATATGTTCCTCTGTGTTGACAGTGCTTCTGAATTGGCAGGAAATACTGAATTTTCCAGCGAAAGGCATACGTGAAAGTAATTATGCTAACCTAAAAACTGGGAGGCTTAGAGGAGACATGTGGTCTGCGTTTTTTTCTTTTAATCCATTGTGGTACCAGTTCACAGAAATAGTTTTTTTTTGCTAGGTTTTTTTTTCCTTTGTTTACTTTGCAGGGAGATCTGTAAAAATTGAGACTTTTAAGAGGAATGTAGTTACATATACATCTGCTGATCTCTTCCTTGGCTGGGAAGAAATGATGGCACTATTCTAAAATACTTTCTGAAGTAGTAGACGGTAACTTCCACTCAATCATCACAAGCATCATGCCTGAACATGAGGAAATGTTCAATCAGTCAATGCATGAGAGTTTTTTCTGCTGATTTCACTAGAGCCAAGACTTCACCTAGGTATTTTGGAAGGAAATAGAGAGCTAGGTGTCCAACACTGCTCAGTTTTCTTGAATATTAAGTCCTACATTAAAAAAAAAAACAAAAACAGAAACAAAAACAAACTAGGAGATGGATAAATGTGTTGTTACAGATGCTGTAGTGTTCTATACAAGGCATCAGTATATAATTCCATTATTAGAGCTACTATGCTGCACTAGTGGATAGACAGCAAGTTAGAGGGATAGCTATAGAAATGGTGACGCTAATAGGAGTGAATCATGTTGAGATCAGTTAATTTTTAAAGCCTAGGTGTGAAGACCTGTGATACCTAAAGGAACTATGTCAGAAGCCTCGCCTTTCTTCCTTTCTTTCTCAGATGACACTGAGACATGAGGATGGAGATGAGAGTGCTGACCCCCCTCCCAGTGGGCGCAAGGACCGGAGAAGGGCCAGTCTTGGCGCTAGTGAGCGGAGGGGGTTAGAGCGCCGACGGAGCCGCAGGCACTCGGTACAGAACGTCAAAAGCACTTTATCGGCCCCTGCGAGTCCATGCGGTCAGTCGAACCCTAGCTTCGTGCTAGGCCACGGACAGCGCGTTGAAGATCTTAGTGAGAGGTAAGTGCATGAGTTGGGGAATACTCCTTTCTTTTCCCCTATTACTTTCCATTATATTCACTGCACTTTATTAATCTGCCAGACTTTTGGGTTTTTTTTTCCCTCTTTCCATTGAATTAAAAAAGGAAAAAAAAAGTGTATTTAAAGTTAAAACAAAAAAACCCACCAACAACAAAAAGAAATGGATTTGTAGGTGACTTGATTTATCCACATAGACAAGTTCTTTGGCACCATGTTCCCTAAGTAAATGGACCCAAACCACATGACATAGAGCATTTGATATGGGAGCTAACCAAGGTTAATCTCATCCATTGCCAGATTTTATATTCAATACAGCAACATAATAGAAGATGGTAACAAGGGCATAGTCACATTAATGCAGACTTATTTGTCCTGCATATGTTACAGTTGATTCTTCTTTTTTTCCCCTTTGCAATCAGCATTCCGACATAAATATTTTCCTTTGAGGCTACACTGTAGTAGTGAATGTATCTAATGTTTCATAATTAGTGAAAGAGAGACAGTAATGACTAGTTGAGTAGCAGTCTGTAACACTGGAGTCGGTCAAAACTAGTGTCATTGCCAGTCCCATAATGGTTGGCTTGGGCTACGCATGCTTAGGAAAAAAGAGAGCTGCAGATCCTCAGCGTGTCCGACTACCTCACAAGAGGGCTGGAATTAATTTTGCCTAAGTGAGATGTCTGGTCAGCTTGCCTCCCTTTGATGTCAGTGGAGTGCAGCAAGCACTGCTAGGCCTTCAGTTATCTAACGTATTCTACATGCCTGAAATTTCAGCGAAGGTGAATCATGCTCTGAAACTGGCTGTTTCTCCCTGTTGACCATAAAGGGAATCCGGCTGACTAGCTCAGGTGAAGGTACATATGCTGCAGATAGCTAAAGCTGGACACATCTCTCATCCCATGGCTCAAGGTGCAATTTGCAAAACCGAAGCACGCTCCATGAAGAGTATATATTGTGTTTATTATAACATTTGGAAAGTTCTTTGGGGGTTTCTGTGGTTAGCACTAGATGTGAACTTAGAGCCTTAAAATCCTGCGTTATGTGTAAAGCAGCCCTTCTTGCAAAGCAAACTGAGTTGACTAAAGCTTAATGGCTTCAGGCAGTATGAAAATCTAAGACTCCAGATAATTTAAACAGTAGTTGCGTGTTGTATACCACGTAATGGCTTTTTTTTTTTTTCCTTTCTTCTTGCATTTGGCAAAATATTCATGCTTATTTTCCATCACCTTCTATTGGCTGGGCCTTTAGTAAGCTGGAGGCTGAGCGCCCCGTGGTCTCACAGGCTGATGACAAGGATGACAGTGCATTTGAGGCCGAGTTTAAAGCATCTTCAGTGTGAGTACAGCTGGGGGCTTCAGCCGCTCTGCATGGAAAGCCTCATGCATGATCTTGACCCCTGCTTCATGCCTTACCAATGTGATTGAGAATCTGTACCTATGGATGTGCAGCGGATATCACCAAGTTGTTTAAACTGATTAATTTGGGTTAGAAATAAGGGGATGCTTCAACTCTACAAAAATTGTGGCTTCTTTTACTGTAGTTAAACAAATACAAGTCATGCAAGATAACAACTGCTACCAATACGTTTTCTCACTATTAATGTTTGCTTACTAGTTTTATTTTGTAGTCTTCAGTAATTCTTAATGAATTTGTGTTTGAGCTGATTTTTAGTATTGGCGCAGTAGAAACATGGCAGATTAGTTTCACAAGTTCTTAGAAATACTTTTTCACCAACATAGCATAATTCCAATAATTATCTTCCTTTTCTGAAAAAAAATATCCAGTTCTGCTCTGCATCCTCCTTGAAGCTGACATAATTTAAAGCATAATTTAAGTTTAAAGTTTAAGTTGCAGTTGTCCTTGGAATCTTCTCTAGGAAAAGAATTAAATTCTCTTCAACTGAATTTGGAATTTCTAACTTGCTTACCTGCCTTCCTAAGGAAAGAGGCATTCAATTATGAATTTATGTAACACTGATCTTCACATATTAGTTAAATAAAAATCCTTTTTTTTCCTCCCATTCTCCAGCCATCTTAGCAGGTAAAGACAGGGAGTGTTACTTGTAGCTAGCAAATCAGTTTTCTTCCCACTGGACATTACAGACCACGGAATATGTTTTGGTACCCAAAGATGCAAGTTCTATGGCCAGTGAAATTTTCAAAGTTGCCATAACAAGAAGCTAGTCAACTGTTGGCTCTTCTATAAATCCTGCTGGGTTCCTGGTAAACAAGCATTTCAGAAAAGCTGATTTTGTCCTTCACATTTTTAGTCTCATCATCTACCCAAATCCGTAGTTGTGGTAGCAAGAGGAAAACCAGCCTTCCTGCTTTATCATATCCCAGTGAGTCTCTCAGCTTTCAGTGAAATAGTCCAGATGAATGCAACAGTATCTCTACACCTGATAGCTAAACTAGGACAAAAAAATAAAGTAAATGCTTCACAGCTTCTATTCATTAACATTTAAACAGAAAAAACAGTGAAGTTGAATGACTCGTACAAAATTTTACACATTTATAAAGTTTCAATTAACCTTAAGCGGAAAGAGGTTTTTCTCTCTGCATTGTTCCTAGCGGAATCAAGTTTTCAAATTTGAGCACATGGTCTCTGAGGCAACATATTTATGGGTTTAAAGGATTTTAATAGAGCATTTAATAGGCCTTGCTGCAATTTGTAATGAAATTTTAACATCATATGTTGTAATACGATGCAGGCATCACCTGTTTTTGTCAAAAGAAATGCTTGTTGTGTCCCTTCTGCTACCATCATTAATGTTGTAGAGAGGAATCTGTACAAATGGATAAAAATTACTTATTATCTCTCTAAACTGAAAGTAACTTTTGTTCATCTAGGAAAGTTCTGTCTTCTGCTAGTGACCTTCTTTTGGTTCTTAATCCTAGTCCTTCTCAATGAAGGAAGAAAGTTCGCAATAATTTTTTGCAGTGCTGTATTTTCTGAAAAATAGTCTGCAAAATGGGTTTCAGTCTCTTTATTCCTTCACTACATTTTCTTTACCAATAGGAAACATGTAACAATATTAATGATAATCTTATTGTGTTACTCCTGCTGGTATCTAAACTTTGTGTGTGGTTGCAGATGTCTATGTCTGGTTTTACTGTAGATTAGCACCATCAAATTCAGTGGAATTGCTTCTGATGGACATGATTAGAGATTAAAGTCATTTACACTGTACTAAATTTTGTTTGGGGCAATATTCTTGGTTATCTTTGGACTTCACTACCAAAATCAGTAGAAGGTTCAAGTTCTTCCTCAGCATTCTCCTTCCCACAGTGTTCATGTTTCTTTCCTTTCTAACTCCATCAGCTGGTTTGGCGGTTACTTTGCTTTTGTTTACCACATCAAACAGGTTGTCCACAGTCATCTGCTTTGTGTCAACCGATAAGTCTTCCAAAAAGAGAAAAATCCATGGTGCTGCTAAAACAAAAAAAGACAATATTGGCCAAATTCTGTTCTGTCTCACAATGCTCTATATCCAGAAAAGCTGTCTGAAGTCAATGGAGTTGCTCTGATTTACGCCAGGCTAATTGAGAGCAGACTTTGGGTTTTGAGCTGGGAAAAGTTGACCGTAAATGCTAAGGGCAACCAAAAGGAAAACTTGCAGGCCTTTTTCATCCATTTGGCAACCTTCTTCCAAACTAAATGTATTGCTTTTTCGCTTGTGGTTCAAAATAAATAAAGACCCAAATCTGCTTTGTGTTAAAATAGTTTTCATGGAGAGTGAAACCCAGCCTAATGTGCCTGTTGCTAAATAAATAAAGAAGTTGATAATGACTACTAACTAAGAAAGGCTGAAGGTTGGTTTAAGGATATGTAGCTGCTGCAGAGTACTTTAAAATGCCAGTCCTGACCACCAGCAGGTTTGCTTTGCTCAAAACTTCTTTCTTTTGCCGTGATGGCATAGAGCACCAAAAAGCCTGGGGTGAACTTCAATCCTGTTAATATGACGTTTATATGCTTCACTGAGGGCACCTCCTAAGGTTTTCTACCCTGGTCCAAACTGAGTGCTCTCAATCTGTGGTCTAGCAGGCTGTTTCTTAAGCGGTAGACATTTAAACAAATTCTTCCATGCATTTTTTTTTTTCTTTTTAAAGTAAAGCTAGATTTTTCCAACCACACAATGGATAGAGATGGGGAAAAATATAAAGAGTGGCATGGAACTTGCACATCCCCGTCTCTCTCCCTGGATGTGCCATCAGAGCTGTGCCAGCCAGACTTACCAAATGTACTCAGGGAAGCTTCTGTGAGATTGACACTGGCACCTCTTACCAGCATTTGAGTGAACAGCTTTGTCAAAGCTTTGTGGAATTAGTGACAAAGACTGAGGTTTATAAAGTCGTGAATAGCTAGGATAAAGTATTTACTTTACTAGACTCTCTGCTTTCTTCTTGTTCTTTTTCATAGCTTTGCTTTGTTTTATATCATTGAAAACTGTGAAAGAATTACTAGGATCGGTCATAAAACACTATGTGTGCTCATCTGGAGATAACGAGGCCTTGGTTAAGACTTTCTTGTCAGTATTGCCTGTGTTTGAAACCTAACAAGCAGAAGAGCTGACAGCCATCTTAAGAACTCATCAGAGCAGAGCCCGCATCCTGAATCAGTGACCGAAGCTGGATTTAACAAGCTATCATTTCTAGACCGTGGGGCTAAAAAGGCATGAGGAAGACCAGCTGTTCCAGTTCACCTGAGGCTTCCAGATTTTTCAATCTGAAGAAACTTGGCCTTCAGGAGAAATGTATTGAGAAGGGAAAAACAGCAGAAGACCAAACAGGGAATTATGTGCGTATGAGCTTTGCTTTTGTTAGGGTCCTCCCTGGAAGGCTGCTCGGACTCGTCCTCTGAGCAAAGAATAGCACAGGGAATTCCAAAGTTTCCTGCAAATTTCTGGGCTACCTGGACACAGCGCCGTTGCACAGTGCAAACTGGGCTCAAGGGTTTTCACAGCCTTCACAGTCCTAGAA